CTTTCCCTAAACAAGCAGTGTCTGTGGCTCTCCTCCGCAGAATCTGAGTACTTCCTGGTATTAAGATGCATTGGATAAATAAAAATTACATGCTTTTACAAAATTATGGATTATCTGGTGCTTTTGAACCAAATTCTGCTCTACCATTGGCTTCAGTGAGACAAGTCACTAAGTCAAATATAGTCTTTTTTTTATGAAATACTGATCCAAACAATACTCAAAGAAAGGAAGAATGCATTTTACCAATTCTAAAAAATTAAAATATTGCCTGTGTGCTTTCTATGTCTACATCATTATTATTATTAATGTTAATAACAGTGGGATGCACTCCCAGTGAAAAAGGCAGTAGGTGGTCATTATAGATTCAGTACTTCCTAGAAACATCTTGGAGACGATGTATTCATATATTGAATGAAACCTCTTTATATTATTATTTTTAGATGAAAAAAAAATCTGTCTGGGCTGAGGCTAATGAATTCATCTTTTTGTGTCAGCCGCACTTGAAAAATTGCACTATGTTCTCTTTATACTCAACAATTTCACAAATGGGATGAAATAAAACTCTGAAGATGATCTAATGCTCTAAAATTCTGTCTTTTTTAACTTCATCACATAGGGTTGTTGCTGTTTTTCAGTCCACTTGTTGGGGATTCAAAACCCTGCCTCTCAAAAGCATATTTTATAATCCTTTTCAGGTTTATTAAAGTTTAAGGCCATGAATCAACATAGAGCAAGCCCTGGACTGGACAGCAGGGAGAGCTGAGCTGGAGGTCCTCAGGCAGTGGGGGCTTCTAGGACCCACCAAATGCCCCAGTTACAGGATGCATCAGCCAATCTCAGCACTGGCACTAAGGGAGCATCCTCCTGCTGTACTTTAGATACTCGTTTCGTGCTGCTCACGTCTTCATCAGAAGAATGCAGAGCAAGACACACCTAGCACCCAGAGCTATGGATGTCATGGGAGAGGGGATGCTAACCTCAGTCCCAAAGCCAAAGGGAATGGGTGCTCGAGCAAAGAAGGAAGCAATTATATGACTGTATCACCACCAGCCAAAGAAGGCACTGGAGTTAGACTGAACTGCAGCTGGCTAAAAACACGAAGAACAGCACACGTGGAGCAGACAGACAGAATGGTTTCTCCCATCCTGCAGTCTGTGGTGCTCCATGTCAGCAGCGCTTCCTACAAGTGGTCCAAGAGCCACGCAGACGGTGCTTGGGCAACACTGGGAAGCGCGTCTCAAAGGGATGATTCACGTTCATAACAGAGCAGCCACCGGTTGCCCACTTTCAATACAGACCAAACATGGGAGAGAAACACGGTTGCTCACTCCAAGCTCCCAGGGCAGAAGAAGCGCTGTGTTTCAGCTGTGAATCACAGTCTCCATTTATAAGATCGGTGAGAGGGATGAAAGGTGGGGCTTAGTGAAGGAAGGAGCAAGAGCTGACCACTGACCTCTAAATAAAACCCACCAGTCACACTTTGGGATCAGACTACGACAGGAGACAGAGCGTTTCCAACTGCCCTTTTTCACTTAGACTTCATCTTTCCTGGTTTTGTTCACCTTTGATCAGGTGCAGCAAAGCCATGTCACAAGGTAAGAATGCAGGTTAATCTCCAGGAAATGTGTTTCACTCCAGCACAGGGTCAGAAATTCATAGGCTCTTGGACACTTCTAGTGGCATGTGCTTGCAAGGAGACATGACCATATCATACTTCTGCCATTGTCCAAACCCCCTCTAATCTATGAAACCAAGAAATCTCAGAAAACACCTTCCTGGGAAGGAAGTGGCAATGGGACAAAAAGGTGGTAGAAAAGCACTGACGTTCAAACAGGTAGGTGTCATCTGGCGGAGAGGTGGTAAGGATTGAAACAACAGAAGAGGATCAACCCCACCACAGAGATGCTGGAGCACGGAAAGGTGAGGCAGGGAAGCTGAAGGGGTGTAGCAGATCCCAGTCTAGCAAAAGGCCCTAGCAGAGACGATTGTGGCACAGGGAGAGATGGGGTGTGGGAAACCAGCAGCTCAACAGACAGTGAAAAGGCCTCTGGAAAGACTCCAATCACAGAGAAGGATAAAACCACTACAAGATACCTGCAGCCATCGAGGAAAGAGGGAGGATTTAGCTCGTGGTGTTGGAGGTGGACACAGAAGGGCAAGTACCTGCCTGTGCACTTCAGGATTTCTTCAGCTCAGCTTTGGGTTTTATCGGGAAAGATAGGCAGGAGTTAAGGCTGCTAAGCTGATACTAATGACTAATTAGTATGAGTTAAACAGTTAATTAGAAATTAGCTAAGTAGTTGCAAGGGGGTCAGAGGTAACGCCAGCACAGTGCCTAAGGGAACCACGTGAGCTGAGCAAGGGTGGTGCCGGTGCCATGGGATGGTGATGGCTTCAGCCTTGTCCATCCAGGCAGAAGGAGCTCTGCCTGCAGCTCTGCAGGGCTGAAGAGCCACTGTCCCTTGGGTCTCTGCCCCTTTTTCCTACTTCAACGAGATGCGCGTCCAAGTTCGTCACTGCAGTTCTCTGTAGATCAGCATGACCTGGCCCAAGAGCCTGCAGGGTCACCATGCCTAATCCCTGGGAAGGGAAGGAACGCAGCGCACAGAAGCTGAGACACCTACAAACAGCATTGCTGAGACATTCAATCTGAAGAGATGCATCTTCAGCCAAGAAACTGTGACTCATGATTTAATGTTTCCAGGACATAAGATTTCAAAGTGATTCATTTGGTCAGAAAAAACCAGTCCTACCATTTTTCATTCTGGGCTAACGTTCATTTCATACTGGTTTTACCAATTCCCAGTTAGCACAACAAACTCAAACTCCAGGTGACACTCTTACAGCACCAAAACTTTGAAGCTCCTTTTCCTGTAAGTAAAATAACTATTGCTTTTGAAAATGAGCCTAATAGTCTAACTCTTTTTTTAAGAAGCTTTTACAGATTTGATCATCTTCAGCAGTGCAATTAAAGCAAAGCCAGCATGTTTATTTTGTTTGCAGAGAAGAAACTGATTGAAACCATATTTATAGTCTTGGAGCAGAGTCAAAGCCCCGCTGAACTATTAGCCAAGTGTGCAGATTATTAATTGCCATAAAAGCCACTCACAATATGCATTTGATATCTGTATTGTTAAAGTGTCCACTCTGGTCAAAGTAAAATGGCTCAGCTGGATTTTCTCCTCCCCAGGGTGAGACTGGAAAGCATCTGATAAGAATTTAAGCAAACTAAATACTTCCCCTCCTTACTGAAATTTCTATGCATATCAGACAATTAGCCTTAACCTCAAAAAAGAGTTTAGGATCTGGATAACAAACTTGGAAATTCTCCTTCAGCCTAATGTAAAAGCAAAATAAAAAAAGAGGGGAAAAGATGGTCTTTAATTTTAAACGGATTTTTTTTTTTTTTATTAAGCTTTGGTCTAAGTGCTCTTTCCTATAGATGATCTAAATTATTCCTCATCAGAGAGGAACCTGCACCTCTATCAAGTAGATATCATTGACAGATAGCAAATTAACAAACTGAAGCCTTATATTTTCAACATAAATCTAAAAGATTCAGTTCTTTGCAAAGAAAATATACAGAGAGCAGCTGCCAGAGCCGTAGCCTTAGCAACCACACCTGCTTCATACTCACGTCGGCTTTCATACATGCTCCTGGACTGGGCCCAGATTTTGAATGGATCTGGCTTTTTCTGCCCAGAACTGTCCGGTTGATCCGCAGCCGGCGCCTCCGCAGCGGTGTAGTCCGGCAGCACCTGCGTACTGTGAACGGGGGAAGCGGTGTGCCCGCTGCGGTGGCTGGAGACGCTATGCTGAGAACTGTTTTGGCTGTCTTTCCTTTCAAGTGGTTGCTGTAAGGAAGAAAGCGAGTGGAAAGAGAGAGAACAGACGGTTATTGGTCTTTGAGTGGGTGTTTTCCATCAATTTTTCTCCCTTCTTTGATCAGGGTTTCTGCATGCACATAAGTAAATATATAAATCACAGTTTTGCTGCCACCAGTTAATGCTGGGTACAGTTAAATTCCCCGATGACAGATTTTGATAGGCAGACTGACAGAAAGAGATATGCACAACAAAGTCATTTATCATAAAAAAAATATGCAGTTCTCCATGTCACACATAAAACAAATCTAAACTCATTATAGGTTACTAGTTTCAGTGCACTTATTTTTTCCTACATTAAGGCAGAAAAACTCAACAACCTTCTACTCAGATAACATTAGGGTCTAACTTGAGCCTGCAAGAGAAAGTTAAAACTACCAGATTTCACTGTGAAAACTTAAACAGTCCCTCTGGAACAGATTCTAGCGCAGCCCTTACTATGAAAGATCATTTTTCCTCTGCAGCTCTCGCAACCCCCACATCACGAGTGGGTGGACAACAGAGTACCACTTTCATGTCTCTGCTTCCCAGAGCATCCACAGGATTACAGAAGACCTTCACAAATGTGAAAACATCTATTTGCAGTTTGATTTCCTTGTTTTAATTCGGCATATTAAAACAGGAAAAAATACGTCCGCCTAAATTCAAGGCTTATCCAAAAGCAGTATGTCAAGAGCTCTGTCTGCTCAATATTTAGCTAAGCAGGGTACATAATTCTTAACTCAAATTCACAACGGTGTGCTCAAATGAAGCACAAGTCGCATTTGCATTGCCAGGATTTGTACTACTCAATATGCAGCAAAATCCTCCTTCAACAAGAGCTCCCCGAACTGTACAGCGAACGCTTTTTAATGCTCTTTTGAGATGACCTTGGGTTGGCATCAAGGTCGAGTCCAATCTCCCACCTGCTCCGCCACAGGGAACTGGCACGTTCCCGGGACTGCTATGATGCAGAGGGTGGCTGGAAAAATAGCATCCTACAGGTTGTTTTTACAACATCCAGAATTTTCTGGCTAAAAGGGGTGAGCCACTGGCCCCAAGAAACCTCAGACAAAAATTTGAAGCCTCCTGCTGGCAAGGGGTGCCCGAAAACATTGCAACAGGAGCCTCTGCTTTCAGGGACTTCTCTGTAGAAAACCAAGCAGGGGTTGGGAGAAAAGCCAGCAGTAAACACGGAGCAGATCAGTGTGGGGGGCTGGGGGGCACACAGGTCTGGGGAACCCTCCTTCCCTCTGAAGGCAGAGCTCCAGGCGGCCAATGCTCCATCACAGCAGGGCTGAATCAATTACAGAGGAGAAAGCCACCGTACCGAAGCGCCCTGTTTCTGAGTCTTAACAATTATCTTTTCTGGTTTTAAGTTGCAAATATTTTTAGGTTTACACTGGAAAAAAAAACCAGCTCCGACAGACCAAATGACTTTGACCACACAGCCTTACATCTGAGTTGTTGATCCACTACTGGCATTTTTTTAAATGATATCTCGATCGACTAGAACGTGAAATTGCCTTTGTCCTTTAAAGCAATTTTGAACAAAGCATACCTGCTGTGATTACTCATCTCCAGACTTTTAAATCCAAATATCTGAACCAATTTCAAACATTTTTAGATTTTTAAGTGGTAAAAGAAGCTAATTCACATGCAGCCCTTCAGTTTTTAAATGAAGCAGTTTTAAAACATCTATGCTGTGGATAATCAGTCCTTTGTAACTTAAAAATAAAAAAAAAAAAAAAAGAAAAAAACACTTTACAACTCTTAGTCCAGCCATCTGGATTGTTTTGTTTGTTTGGCTGACCTACTAAAATAACTACAAGCATCCTGTGAAACTTCAGGCCAATCTCACTGGAAATAGCTGGTTTACAGAAGTTGGAGTACAGGGATTAAAATGTGAAGCTTTATTCAGCCCTTGGGGAAATGTTGAGGACTCTCTGAAAACTTTCTGATTTAAAAAGAAACAATTTTTAAAAATGTTCTCACTTTATGATACGAAAGGTCTAAATATCAAACAAACTATGAATTCTGTTTTGTATTTGGGTTGCAAATGGAAGTGTCAGCATATCTCAAGCAAAACCACCTCTAATTAAACTGGAGTTGCAATTGCAAATACACAGATATTTTGCAAGAGATACGGGAAAGCTTCTTCAGAGGGACAGTTGCTTTTCCAAACAACTCCTTTAAAAAGCCTGAAACATCTCAGTTTAGGAGTTGAAGAGGGGAACAGAGAAAGGGGAACACAACCTTGAAAATAATGAATATATGTAATTAAATGAATTCAAGACAATATTAATTGAATTTCACATCACCAGATGAGGCCAAGAACGTTTGAGGCCAAAAAGGTTTGGGGCCAAAATTTTAGATGTGCTGGAACAGCTTCAGCACATCAGCAGGACCACGACTTGCAGAGGTCTGATCGCCCTGCTCTCCATGCTGCTCCTGCAATGGGGACTGCCCAGATGAAGAAGTTTGTGCCTTCGTGCAAAGGTGGAGCTTTCCCAAGAGACCTGAGCTGATGATACACCAATGAAAGGTTGGCTTCTCTGTCTACTGACTCATTCCTAGCTTTAGGGCCGATCCTCCTGGGTCTGGATCTGACTGTCCGCCTCTACCAGCTCACACGTGGGCAGGAAGGCAGCTAAATCAGGGCCAGATGAGCACGGCGCTGTTTGGTGACAGGCTTCTGACAGTAGCGACAAAAGCATGGGGCACTGAACTACCCAAGTCAGCAAGAGCACCCTTGACCCTCCAGAGTCCATGGTCTGCTTCAGAACTGGTGATAAGCATAAATAGCTTGCCAGAAACACTCTCTCTCAACCAAAAATGCCTAGAAATCAAGACTACAATGGCAACCTTGAGTCCATTTAGGCAGACTGCACACTTAAATACAGGTGATGGGAAAAAATAATCACCTTGGTACTGTATTGCAGCCATGAAAAAATAACTACGTGGAAAGCTGGAGCTTCTCGTGCCCTACCCAAGCCCTAGGTTCGAGATGCAGTTTAGGGATGCATGTGCTGTGTCAGCTTCCCGACACCCTTGCTGAAACTTTGCAGTGCTTATCCTGCAAAACGTAAGGTGAAGAAAAGGTACTGTTGGGAAGAAGGTCTTTTCCAGTTGCGATTTCCCCACTAGTTGAGGTTAACAGGAACATCAGTGTGGCTTGGATTTCTGAGCGCAGCTGTGGGGGCAATCGCTGCAGAAGAGGGGGCAGCAGTGGTCAGGGTTTGGGCATGCATCAGCCTGCCAGGATTTGTCCCCCCGCACTGTGCAGACCCGTTTTCAGCCACAGACACTGCATTTGCCAACCTGAAAGGCAGCTTCTCCCTCAGCAGAGAGGCTGAGAGAGCCCACACTGAGCACTACATCGTCCTCTGATTACGGCGAGGGAAGAAAACAGCGCAGGTGATGTGAGCCAGGGAGCTTGAAGCTGTTGTGCTTCAAAAGGAGACAGAAGAAAAACTGCTTACAAAAGTCACCAAGTGCCTGGAAAATGCTACAGATACCCACATAGCAGAGAGCAGTTTTGTCATTCATGCTAAATGAAAGAGTAATTAAATATTACTTTGTACAGTGACTGCTAAAACAGCCAAGGCCCGTGACCCGGCTGAGAGGCGGCTGCAGGCAGAGATGGGACACTAATTATTAGCAGCAGTTGTGTATGTCTGTGTCAGGCAGAGAGAAACCCGCAGCAGAAGAGGCGATGGCAGCAGGGAGCATGTCCTGCGGCACAAACGGACACCAAAGCCCTTTGGCAAGGGATTCTCCAGGCACTAAACTGCAAGGGGGAAGAGTTGCTGTGGTTTCCTCCCACTGCATTTCAAGGTGGGGAGAAAAAAAATGGTCTCTGAAAGAAGAGGGACGTGTCGTATAAACACTGATGCTATGGAACCTACTTCTCCTCCTGAGAAAAAGGATATCAGCAGAGCCCCAAGTGCTGCCTATCCACCCGAAATAGGTGGCAAGTCTCTTGTCAGGGACAGGCTGTGCACAGGAATTGCATTTTTGGCCACAATTCAGCTATGCTGACAATGTACTTATTTACACCCAAAAGAAAAATTAGATTTTTGGAAGACCTTAGCACTTTCTTCCCCCTGCAGTGATCCTGTCTTCTGAGGATCTAGCTGCAGATTTAGTGCTCTAGAGCATTTTGGGGAAGCTGGTCCTGGCAGCAACAGAAAACTGAGCTAGAAATGGGAATCTTTGCCCCCTTGTGGAGTATTTTGATGCAAGCAACATGGGGGAAAAAAAAAAAAAAAGAAAAAGAAAGTTTGTGCTCATCCATGTTACACTAGGATAATTGCTGGGAAAATTGCTATACTAGAGAACTTGCACACTGAAAATGTAGAGCGCAGACAGTGAATGCAAAAATATTATCCATTTTCATCTAAAGAACAATCAATGGGAGGCTGAAAACAAACAAGCAGCAGAGAGAGCTGCTGTGAGTGTATCCTTGGTGGGGGAAAAGGGGGAAGAAAGGACTTGGAAGTGCCCAGTCCCATGTACGGCCGCAAACTTATTTTACTAATTTGGCTCTTCCACCAAGTTTGAAAGTGTCTCCTTAAAAAATGAGAAAAAGAGCAAAGCTCATCAGAAGATACACACAGGCTGAAAAAATACAGTCCAGGAAAACTGAGCTCAAGGGAGCAAAATATTCCCAGATGGTGTCACAGCTCCAACACTGAAAAAACTCCCCAAGGGGCTAACACATCTCCTCCCAGCCGGGAGGTACCCAACAGCCTGAAGTTGGCCTTTCGGGAATACGAGATTGGGGCTGATAGCTAAAAATAGGGCTTGTCCGAGAAAGAGAAAGCCATTGGCGTAAGTCAGGAGCGTGTCCAGGCTCTGGGAAAGGACACGAGGTAACAAGAGAGGGTTCATCACTGCACTGAGCAAAGCAGAGGAGGATGGAGACCTCAGCTCGCGTTTTCCCCGATGCAGCAGAAGAAGCAAAGAACGAACACAAGATTGGGCCAGCTACTCCCAGCCGGGATGTATGCTGTCCTAACTGCAGCCAATTTATTCATCAAGGAATGCTGGAAAACAGTCCCCCTGCTTCAGGCAAAGGGAGCTGGGCAAAGAGGCAGCACATTCAACCCAAGCCCCATGGCCATTTGTACGGCGCTGGGGACAGCCCGTGGGTGCACAGCTCAGCCGGCAGCACCCACATTCACCCAATAGCTGCAAGTGCAGCAAACCATCCCTGGGAAATGCCGGGGCAGGGAGCTGCGAGACAGCATCCCAGCGGAGGAGCGTGCCAGTGGGGCAGGTCCTGGCTCTCCTCTGCCAGGACAAGAGCAAGTGGGAATCTTCACAGCCAAGAGGGCCGGGTCCCCCCGCCCTGCAGCCAAACACCAGCCCTGCAGCTAAACCAAGGAAGGAACGTGTTAGGCAATACCACTCTTTTATGCTTTTGACCATCGCCGTAGCCACACAAGCTCTGGTGTTGGTGTAAATCCATCCCAGATGGCCCCAAGGACAGTTTCCTCCTCTGCACAGGGGTGCCTAGAGGCACTTTGCTCCAGGGTTGCACATCACGGATGCCTGGGAATGAAGAAGCGGCTGTGCTGGCTCCGACAGGCTCTGCTCTGCCCCTCCGAGAGCGGTCGGTCATCGGTCATTAAAGCTGCCGCACAATGCGGCAGTGTAAAACATCACTGCTAATTGCCAATGCAAATGATCCGGTGTGCAGGCAGGGGGAATAGGAGACTCTGCCTTTTGTGAATCCTGCGCTTTAGAGGCAACAGCACCGCCTAGGGCCGTAGTAAAAATTACTGGAGGGACCCTAAACCAAGGTGAAAGGGGTTCAGGAGAGGCACGCGAGGGAATGGGACTGCTTTCCCAAGGCTGACTGGCTCGTCAAAGCAAATAGTAGGGAGAAATCTGCTGTTGCAGAGCTACACCTGTTTGCAAGCAGTCTGTTCTCCAGGGCAGGATTATCCTGACATGGATTTAGATGGTGCTCAGATTTTCATGGTGCATCACTGCCAACCAGAGAGGTGTCTGACACGGCCGGATCCCTCTTTTCCTGATGCCAAATGTGCGTGTGGGAAAGTGGGAGCCTCCGTGCTTTGAAAAGACCGAGACTCATCGATCGGGGCCGGTTTAATGACAGGAGTTGGAGTCCGGATCGAGTGCAGTGACTCCTGCTCCAACCAGGGAAAAAAGTGCAGGCAGATAAAAGAAACGTGCCAGACGCGTACGTATTTTACACGCTTGCTTCTGTTTTACCGAAGGCTGAAATAATCTCAGCGTATGAGACAGAAGCGAGCGCGCAGGGTCTGACATGCCTGTGATCTGCGAGGGAGCACACCCCGCACTTCTGCCTCTCAACATTAATGCGAGCTGACAATGGTAGAGGCCCGGGCTCACGTGACTTTAATCAGCGCTGCCCTAAGCCATCAGAATCACATTAATTATTTCAGGGCTTTCTTTTTGGATGAACAGAGAACTTGTATTAAAAGCAGGAGCCTTCTGCTCAGCCCCTTCATAAACCTCTCGCTCAGGTTTGCGGTGAGGTGAGCTGCGCCCAGCTGCAGTTTTTGGCACCCGTCGGGGACTGTCGGTGAAGTTTCGCACCGTCTTACAACACGGCAAAGACCTCACTCACTTTGCTTCCCCAAAGCTATTGGGAGAGAAATCTCTTTTTTTCCCCTTCCTGTCAACAGATAACTGGAAACTTTCAGGTTTTAAGTATTCCATTTCCTTTAAAAATAAAACATTTCTTTTTGTTGCATACAAATAGCACGTTAATTTCTTCCGCAATATCATGCACAGAGCTTTAATGATACTTTAGATCACAGCTTCCATGCTATTAGCTAACAAGTCATTGAGGTTACAGCTTTACATGGAAATAAGATCAAAAAGGCAAGAGAATACTGTTCTGTTTTGGGTTTTTTCAAAAAATAAGGAATCTCACACCTGCAGCACAATCCTGCTCAGTCTGAAAATGCCTCCAGAGCGAGCACTCGGACAGCTAACTGTATTCCGTGGGAACTGTGATCATGCTCCGTTCGTGCTTTGTCTCTCTCAACAAGGTGCATGCTTTCCCATTCTGTTAATAATTCAGCCAAGGGTACTCGAGAAAACTCAGGGAGTTAATGGAAAAGGTTGGTGCCTATGAGCACCCGACAGGAATTGCTATCTGGCACGAAGGTGGAGCCTCCCATCTTTCCAAAAGGAAACAATAGCTTTTTTTTTTTTGGTAAGTTAAATGACAGAGAAGCTCATCTGTCAGGGAAGAGGCTCTGTAAACCTGAGGCTTTATTTGCAAACAAGTCCCCCTTCCGTACTGCATTCCTCTTTCATCTCCCCATGCAGCGGGAGCTGTGCAAGGTAATCATGGGCACAACAGAAAGACAACTTAAAACAATCGAGACCCACAAAGAAAACAAGCTGAACTCATGCCTTTCTCCTTCAAAGCAGACAGACAAAAATAGTAGCTGAAAAGTGCTTACCGACTTTGGGCTCTTCTTTGGGACCGGCAGTCCTGAAAAATGGCAACAAGGGAAAAATAAACATTAGCATCTAAACGTTACCTTCCCTTAAAGAAAAATCCCTAGGTGTATCATCCGAACGTAGCCATCTGCAGAGTTATGTCAGCTTTCGCTCTCGCATCGGAGTTACCAGTCTGTTCATATCGAATCAAAGCACAGGGAGAGGGAGAGCGAGCGAGAGACGGGAGCGGGGAAGAGGGAGCGGGGGGGAGAGCTCTATCTGCATTAGCTATGCTGACTTGTGCTGCAGCAGCCGGGAGGCTGGGAGAGAAACCCACAGCCCTCAGCGGCCGCCGAAACCCAGCGCTCGGGCAGAATCTCAAATGCTCCCCTGGATTACGGGAGACTTAGCTTACAATTAAGCCGAGGCTATTTCCTTTTGACGCGATCGGCTCGGCGATTTTATTGGACCAATCGCGGCGGCGCAGGGGAAACAGGTTGATTTTTTAAAAAGTATTTCTCTAGAAATCGATTTTTCAAAGGCAAATGTGCATTGGCTTGAGCCGGGAGACGCAGGCTGGGCAAAGGAAAACAAAAGCATGCAGAGGAATAAGCTTTTATCCCTAAAAATGTGAATCTTACTGAGAAAACACACGTTTTCCTACCTGTCCATCCTAGGTGTAAATCTTTGAAGCCGGAGATTTTATCTGTTAGTTACAATTTCAGAGAGCTGAGGCTTGAAAACAGCACTGCAAGTGTCCCGACCCTTGGGGGGGAAATGCTAGGGAGCTTGGAGAAGGTGGGCTTACATGGGTTGCAGTTGATACAAAGGAAGAAACAACTGGGAGGACACAAGAGAAGGTTTCTTCAAGGACAATTTTGCATTTTGGAGCAGCCTCTTGCTCTGTGATGAGCAAGAAAAATCAAGTGGGATTCCTATCAACTACTTCTGCACATAGCTCAATTCCCAGCAGCAAAGGAGACACTCGGCTGGGGGATTTACCTACAACGCAGGAAAAGCTCTTTCCTGGGCGTTCTGCAAATCACCTTCCTTCTCCTCCACTATTGAAGGAGAGGGAACTCCCCATATTTTGCTCTGTGTGGCACTCCAGAAAACAAACATAAACCAAACCAGAAGATTACACTCCACATTAAGTGCTCAGTAATTCAGATGTTTGAAATCTGCTTTTGTCTTTAGGATGTGATTTATGTGGCATTTATGCTGCATTATGTTTTCTACTTTATGCATTTTGTTTGTGCTAAAACCCATGCCCTCGTCTAACTTTTACACGTAGAATAAAATAAGCGATGCAAGTGAATTACAAATCTGTCTGGGAAGCAGCTCATTTTAAGGTAATTTGGGAGATGTTAGTTCTGAATAGGGAAGAGCCACAATTAAAAATGATAAACAGAGCTCACTTCGCTGCCTGTTCACAGACTCGGATGCAAACTCATATATTTCACATACTTGAAGTATTTTAAATGAAATATTTTCAGCTTTTGAGGAATATCTGTGCTCTGCACATCACTCTGATGCATTCCCAGCCAATAGCTGATACCCCTCCAGGCAGTGATTGATCGAGGGACAATGAAACATCAAAACTGTTTGAACTAAACAATCAAGACCGCAGCTTCATTTCTGCTGATGGTGGACTGTGTTTGTATAACACACTTAAAGAGGAAAGCACTAATAATGTTCATGGCAAGTCACATTTTTAACAGGCATCATTTATCACAGAGATAAACACACGGATAGAGATTCTCCCTCTCTCTCTCTCCCCTTCCGCATCCATGCACACACGTTTACTCTCCCTTTCCAAGAGATGCTCTTTCCTATTAAATCAATAGGTAGCACAGATCCCCATGCATGCACGCACCCTCAACAGACCAACGTGAGCCAGAAGAGGTATTACAGCAATTTAAATGTTCCCCACAAAAAATAAAGCTGAGATGCAGCTGGGCTGTTGGTTCAAATTGTACCAGGATTCAGTTTATTGCATCACAAGCATTAAATGTTAAAATTTACTCAGTAAGAACTACTGAACAAACCTTTCCTTCAAAGTTTGTCATTAATTTTGGCTGTTCCAATCCAAAAAAGATGGAGAACAGTTGAAAAATAATGGAAAACACATCAAGGCCATTGTCTGGCGGGTCCTTCAGAGGCCGATGAATCTTATAGTGTCACTGCTCTGTGCTAGACTTTGCTGCAGAACAAGCAGTAATTGACTTTTTACCAAAATAAGCGACTGCAGAACATGTTAACAAATGTTGGTAGTTTTTCACGGGACAAGCTTATAGTCAGGGGAATAACCTGCCTGTACATTTTCCTGTAAAAATGTTATTTATCCATATCTAATTAGGGTCTCATTTTAAAACTCCAGTTCTTGACGCAGCAGGCCAAATGAGCAAATGATAGGTATAATATGGAGCTTTCATGCTCAGATGATGGAATGGATATAGTATTTAACAGCAATGAACACAAAGCGCTTGAGTAACCCCCAAATGCTGGGAGCACCACTAGCAAGAAAACGCCGAGCTTTTCCAAAAAGCTTCTGGCAAAAACAATTGCCCGAGCCTATGAATTTGGGATGGTGACAAGTGTGAATTACAACATTCATCTTTTGATTACATTAATGTGTCCCATCTCATGCCGTGCTTTGCTTGGCATGCTCATCCTCCTGGCTGCCCCGTTCTCTCCTGAACCCTCACTGCAAGTTTTTCAGAGGTAAATGGGCCAAGCACAGACTTAACACCCAGTTTTGCATCTCTTTGGCATTGTCCAGTATTTTAGTGGTTGGAGAAACAGCATTCACATCCCTGGTTAAGAGAAGCCAAAAGGCTTCTGTGCTGCTCTGCCCTCAAATCCCATAATGGAGTTGTAATAGTTTATATCGACACTGTTTGCAATATAATTCCTCTGTGATGTTATGCCTATGGACATCTCTCACTACTACCTGAAATGCATCTTCTAAATTTGGGGGGGTTTGGAGGTGCAGATTAGAGAAGGTGGAAGAATCAAGCAACCAAACGGGGCTGTCGTCATCACAGAGTTAACAGTGTTTTAAAACAAACGAGCACATCTGGTAAACAATGTCAATATGACCTAAAACCCCTTGAATGGGCTCATTGTAGCTACTTACTAAATGTGCCTGGAATTAAATTAATTAGAAAACACAAATTACTCCCCTCTAAATAACAATGTAATAAAGCAACTGCTTAATGAAAAATATCAGTGATCAGTGAGCAATCCATGAGCACAAAAAAAGGGATTGTAATCAAACTAAATTCACAGACTCGTCAGCAAGGCAAGAAAGGCTTCATACAAGGTTAGTCAAAAATGAGTCAGATGCAGGGATCTAAATTAAACTAATTATCACAGAGATTATTACATTTATCTTAACAAAAACCTCTCTCTTTTCTCCCCAGTACTCCCTAAAGCTCTATGTACAGCTGGCTGCATCCATCTGCTCAACTACATTTTGTAACATAGGGGAAAAAATGCAAATCATTAAGCAAGTTTTGTACCATGACTTCAGCACTCTTAATGCCATTACCCATCAGCTGCAGCATTTCTGCTGTGTGACACTGTAGTATGCTGTGAGTGATGTGGTCCATGAAGTCAGGCCACAACCCAGCTTATTTCACATTATTTGGCATGTGTTAATTTTGCAGTCTTGTGTGGTAAAACATTTGGAGCTGGGAAGCTGTAAGCTCCCTAACCCTACCTACGACGAGTTCATGGAAGAACCCATGGGGGACAAAACTGCGACGCTAAGTGGTCCATTTTCTCAAATCTTTTGTCTTTATGCAACTAAAGTGACATGGGAAGACCACAACACATGGCAAATTCTGTTTTACTGAGTGACATTTTTACAGAATGCGACTACAAATCCATACCATACCCTGGATGGGCCTGATTCTGGTGAGAGCTCAGAAGGCCACAAATGCTCAAAAATTGCCTATATGGACACCAGACACATCATGCCCTGTTCCACAGTCCCGTGTTTTAGAGACAGTGGATCAAAATAATCAGAAGTTGAATCTTAAGGAAGACCTGTTTCTAGGCACCACAGGAGTCATCCAGTCAACCCATTTGAACAGCTTGGTTATGTGAAGGCCAGTTGGGGTGAACACTTCTCCCTCCACCACAAAAAAAACAACCAACAACAACAAAAAAAAAACCCAAACAAAAACCAAACCAACCCAACCAACCAACCAAAAAAAAACTTCCATGGGATTTCAACTGACGTTAGAAGAATTCAGCACTAGTTTGCACAATCTACCCATCAGACAAAGGCGCTTGAAATTGCGAAGAGACGGTCTAGAAGCGAGACTATCATCTTGTTTCTTACAACATCTGTGGCTACTACTCAACATTTTTCAGGTTTGGGGTGTTTTTGCACATGAAGGAAAAGAATAACTGTGTCTAGATCTTCACATCTCATGACTGCTTAACACTTCTAGTCTGGACACCTTGTGGACTGTCCATATCCGATGGCAAAAAAAAGCCATAGGTGAGCCTAAGTGAAAATGTCACCCATTTGGTTTCACCATTATGTTGTCTGCAGCCCAGAATGCACAACAGCTGAAAATTAACGGCAGATGAATAAAACCACAGGAAAAGAAACCTTTCAGACTGAGTCACAAGGTTAACATTTACAGAGAAAATGCCCCTGCCTGGAAAAAAAAACCCACAAGCTTTCTAAACAGTGCTGCTTACAGTGTGCTGAATAAAAACCAAAGGCTGTATCAAACAGACACTTGGAAAGATGAGGGGTAAAGTACTGGAGTCAGGGGGTACACAACCATGTACCCGGCATTGCACATTAATCACTGCTTTCTGTGTGCAAAATGAGGAACTTTAAATAATTAACGCTAATGGCCATTAGTGCTGCTGGGGGGGGGGGGCAGGGGGGGGGGGGGCTGTGGGGGGGGGGGGGCAGGGGACGGGAGGATGGTGGTGACAAAGCAGTCCCCTTGATTCTATATAATCCATTGCCAAAGAATTTCTAATAAACAACAAATATTATCTAAAAAAATAGATGGAACTTGATCTTTTCCAGACTGGAGAAAGAACAAGAAAACATACCAGAATAATTTGCAGCAAGAGAGGCAAGCCTATACAGGCGTGAGGAGCACCATCAAGAAGAAACCCCCCTACCTTGTCCCTGCCCAACTTTTCTCCTCATCGTCGTGATTTGCATAACAAGAGTATCACTGCGCTAGCAAAAAAAATTAGCTATGCAATACAAGCTTTAAGAGAGAGAATAATTTACACTGCAGGAATATAGCCCTGCCATAAATCAAGTTTGGTAACTACCAAATAGAGTGAAAAATGCCACGTTTCTAATGCTAATGTTCAATGCTAATGCTATGAAAGGGATGTTTTCAAGAGACCATCTCCAGCATTATTAACCCACTGGCACTGGCAAAAAACATAATGAGGCATAGTATATTATTGTCATTAACAAGCATTTCAGTTCTAGATGCTCTAAAGATGTTAAATGGTATTAGCCCCAGTTAGTCATTTTTGGTCAGGAAGCTAAACAATTCCTCGTAATTGAAGTCTCCGTCATATTTTCAGCATCTCAAACCAGAATTGATTTTAGAAGTGATAAAGAAGATACAGGCTAATAAAATACTATTTAATTACTACAAAAATATAAATTTAACAATGTAGTAAGATACATATGCTAATGCCAAGACAGTAAGATAATAAAGAAACTGAGAATTAGTATGACAATTACCCATCTAACCTATGGTTGAACATCAGCTGTTCTTATATTTTTATTTTGAAGTTCATTAAATGAAGAGTTTTTCCTAAAGCTTGAGCTGTTGGAGTCATATGCTTAGTTTAAAATCTCTGTTAATATTTAAACAAATATGTACATAGACATTAAATTTCTGAAACCTCATGAATGGTAAACACCAGAATTGGAAAGTAATTAGAAATCTCTGTGTTCTTTTTACATATGTGTGTGCCTGTACACATGTATTATATATATTTCTAGAGCATATCTCACAATTTTTTGGGTATGTTGCAATTTTGAAGATGTCCAGCCCCAAACCCCCTCTCCTCAGCTGGCCATCCCGTGGCACGGCCGCGTGGGTGCCGAAGGGCAGCAGCACCTCAAGGCCAATCTCACGGGCCACCTCCAACCTCAGCATGGAGAACACTGGTAGAGGAGAAACCATTTTTTGCTATTGTCACATCTGTATTTATCCTGCTCAGTGAGGGTGTTTGTCTTCAGACTTATCACAGGACTATTACAAGGTGTAAATCCACATGCTCAAACCTGCGTGGCTTATGGCAGATTCTCGTATTTCATATTCGGAGAGCAGCCTGCACAAAGGGGACCCCTACAAATAGGGCCCTCTTGGCATTGGTTTGATGTTGCTATTAATAAATAACATCCCTTAATAACAAGCTAATATTTATGGAACGCTTAGCCAGATTCAACCTGAGGGGTGCACATGCACACATGGCACACTAAGGCAGGAAATCTTTACTACAGGACAATGGATTTGCAGATGTTTTCACAAAACATTACTTCATTTGATTTAAAATACAGTTTTCTATAAAAATAGATCAGTAACTCAATATACCTCCAAGTATGTAACTGTACATCTCCAAACCTAACCATTAAGGATAAGGATGGAGTCAAAACTTCTGGGAACTGATATTCACCCACCACATCCCCACCATTACCTTCACGTGCCCCCAACCACACGGCCCTGACCTGCCCCAGCATCCTCAGCCAGCTGCATCATCTCCCTGAAGCTCAGCCTCCTCTACAAGCCCTGCCAACTTCTCAAGACCAACTCATGGTACGTTGCAGGTCTTCTGGCACAAAAGAAACCGCCTTAACAGGGTCTTACAACTGTTAGCTCCCTAATTACTATCACCATCACAAAAATAAGTTCACCTGACCAAGAAAAAAAACCACCATGAAAATGAATAAACATAAAATCCCAATGTAGAATGGAAAAAAAATTAAATTCAGAATAGAGAGACTTAGAGACATGAGGATACATATTTAAAAATAATCTGTCTCAGAACAAAACCATTGACTAGTCCATCACAAAGCCATCCTTCTTCTCAGTTTTGCCCACCCGCTATTGCTTTTAATGACTCGCCAAATGTATTTAATTACAGCGATAAACAAAGACCTTTCTTGGATTTCTGATACCTCATTAAATCTGTTATGACTGGTTATTATAATGGCAAATCAGACCAGCAGCCACTGCGCCTACCTGCAACGTGGCTGATAAAACCGCATTATTTAAAAGTACATGCACACTGAAATGCCACCCAGGCAGTATGCAAGGGTAGGAGGAAAAACTGGGTGGAATAAAACCCTCCTTGCTGCACAGCTCCAAGTCTGCTCCATTTCCTGCTGTGCAAATCCCGATGAAGATGTGGGAGGCACATCTCTAGCTAGATCTGCCTTTTCTAGTGCATAGTATTAGGTTCTGCTGTGCCACCTTGTGTTACATCACATCACATTTGATATAAAACAACACTGTGTGGGTTTGAGTTGCTCCACTTATACCACTTCAGTATTTAATACCAAAACCAAATCAAAACATAAGGGGGGGAAAAAAAGCCAACTTTCAAAACCTCAAGCTAGGGAGAAAAAAAAAGCCTTTAGGAAGAATTTCAGAGCTCTCATCTTTCATTTGCTAAGCAACCTCCTGTTTTGTTCTCATCTAAGAGCCTATTGCTTTCTGCAAGATAAGGTGGTTCATGCAATAAAACATCCTGATGGGAAGATTTCAGACATTTTTTTCTTCCAGCATTCAGCAAATGCTTTGGTTTTCTTAGAGATTTTAAAGCAGATCTAGATTCCCTGCCGCAGAAAGGCAGCCGTGCGCATAACGTGCATACCACCGCCGTTGTGCTGCCAGCATGCAAGATTACGCAAAACCGAAATTATTTTGTTATTCCAAATACGTTAATTGTTCACTTCCTTAATAATTAAAGTACAGGTTTCCTCCCGGCCTTAAAGGACACTTCCTGAAGTATCTCAAAACTTTAGGAAATTATCACAGCCCTTGAAATAAAGGCAAAATGTGTAACAAAATGCCAAGCAATGAATCAGCAACTGTTCTATCCTATTTTACCCTTCCAAGCCACTCTGGAGCTCAGATGACACATATATCTGGGGGACACAAGCTATAGCATAGATAGGCCACGCTGCCACAAAAATGCAGGGCAACTGATGTAAAACTAATGCTGACCCAAAAAGCAGATTTCACAGGCATCTTTTCATTTGCTAACTCATTTCTAGAAGAGAATCGGTGCAAATGGAGTTAATGAAGGGTAGCTGAGGGGAAAACACTTGTGCCTCAAATGACTAACAGATTAGTGTCAGCACTTTGCATGCATCACACCAGTAAGAGCTGGAAATTCTGCAAGCAATTAAAATGTCCACATACCAGCGATGCCGATTCTCCTTTATTATCAGAACTGTAATATTATAAAGCTGTTGGTTTTGGAGTCAGATGCTCCTATGACAATGTGCTTTGTTTGGAGTTTCTTACCCTCCCAGGGTTTAGAAAAAGTAATTGAATGTGAATACCAGAGGCTTGAAATAAAAAGACAGAGAGAACTCCGATGCGGTATTTTTATATCTGGAATTTTGGGAGCTTAACATAGGATTTTTAAGCACTTGAGCTTTTTGAGGTTGATATTTGAATTTGTCGCTTAGTATTTCAACCAGATGCCTTGCATTGAGAAACTCCAGCATGACCTGGTAATGCTAATTAATTAGTTCCCGCAAATGCACTATTTGTACGAACATTAGTAACGCACAGCAAACTATTTGGTGTCTGAACAAGTTACCGACAATTACACTTTGTGGCTGCAGGCGTTTGTAGGCATCTAAAACCTTGGTGAAACCCTGCTGCCTCCTGGAGTCTAATGGGAGCCTTGCCATGGACTTCAGCAACACCAAAATTTCCCCCCTTCATGTTTTTGGTAAGCACAGTTATCCCAAAGCTTGCAAATTCAGACCATCAAAAACAAACGGCTAATGTCACTAAGATTAACACCTGTAAAGCACTTTGAAGGAGAAAAAACACTGCGTAATCCCAAAATATTACATTATTTATAAGACGACCTGATTTTAAATGTTAAGTTTGGCTTATTTTTATCACAAAGAGAAAACAAGTTCCTGCTAGCTTGCTTTACAAAACCAATTACCAGTGATCAGTGTATGGTGATGCATAACAATACACAGCATTGCCCCAAAAAGGCGTATCTATGACTCCAGAGCTGTTTAGAGGAAAATTAACTTGCACAGTGGACTGAAATACATGCACATAAGCAATTCTAATAAGAGGTATGAACTTCAAACTTATTAAAAATATCAAAATGTGTAACATTTCCTTTATTTCATCTTTTCCTGACTTCATCTCATTTTTCTATCTGCTCCTTGATATACTAGTCCCTAATCAGAATAAGGCTGTAAGAGAATAGTAAATGTGACATCAAAATCACTTTAAACTTGCTTTAAAGTCTCATCAGCTTTTTTGGCCTTGTTAGAATATAATTTCACTTAACAGAGAGAACAGAATAACAAAGAGTGACTTGGTGGTTTGGAAAAAAAGATGCAACTACTCCCAAGCAAAGGTTCCCCCAGATCTCCTCCTTCCCTGCACATAACTCATGGAAACGAGGCCGCTTGTGGTAAAATTGTATTGAATGAGTATTTCAGCAATGTATTTTTACCAGGGTTCCCTGCTTCCAGAAAATGGAAAGGTAACTTTGCAAAACATTTTAAAAAAACTTTAATTTAATTTTCAGTGTAGTTCGTAGACCAACTTAAAAACTTTACTAATGTGATTCCCTTATTCCCAGGCAATTAAGACAGATTTTTAAATGCCGAATGAGATTCTTAATTTAATCGGGAAATTTGTAACTCTGGAATTACAAAGTAATAACCATAGAATACAAAGTAATGAACTTGAAAAACAAATCTTGGTATTACACGTCGACATCTATCTCTTTAAGCATACTATGATTCTGATTTTTTAAATAAAAGTTATTAACTAATGAGGGCTGCCTATGGGCTACCAAAAATATCCCCCCATCTGTTATTTCTGGATGGTATTATTTGCACTACAATATCAGGTATTTTTCAGTGTACAGCTCAAAATAACTTATACTGAGTTACAAATTGCTGAG